GGGGCGGGGCGGGGCTGGCGGTAGATTTAGGGCTGCGCGTCCACGCGATAACGCCCCGGCCGGACCAGACGTGCCCGATGGCCCACAGATAGCGCTGCATGCGTGCGGCTGCCATAGGCTGCCAGCCCCGTCCGTCCCGGCGTCCAGGACGCGTCCCCGCCCGGGCCGGCAGCAGACCGACAGGGCGATGGACCAAGTGTGGGTGCAAAAACGAGTTTCAACGATTTGGCGATGCCCCCACCCTCTTTTTTCTTTTCGTTTGTTTTTGCTCCGAGCTCCCGCCGACTTTATACTTGGGAAAGTAGGGTGAAACAAATAGTACTTGACGGCGCCAGGGACGGCCTCGCATGCCTCTGGCCGCCGCCGCGGGGCCCGGCCGCGGCCTGCACGGTGGACGGTGGTGTCCCCGGGTGTCCCCGCCCCCGCCAGTCGCGCCACCCCGCGCACGCCCAGACTTCGTCTTCTTTTTTAAATAGCGTGTTTTACGGGCATTCTGTCCAGCCGACGGAGAGAGGACGTGACAGGAAACCAACATGAGTGTCGCCCCCCCCCCCCCCCCCCCCCCCTCTCTCTCCCCCCCCCCCCCTCCGCCTCGCTTTGTCCATGCCCACAACCGAGTCCGCGCGCCGCTGCGCCTTTTACGCGAGCAGGAATAAACTAACTTTCGTTTTCAATCCGCATTGAAACATTGGTCCTTTTTGACGAAACTCTTTGCGTGCCTCTCGCAGTCGCCTCGAGTTCTTACCCGACCCATAAGTCTCCTCGCGCAGAGCGATTTTCCTTTTTGTTTCGGCTGGGAATGCATAATACGCTATGAAAAGCAATACTTGAGCACGGGCATAAAACTGCATCCCTCCCTTTCTTGCCTTATTTTTGCGAGCTTCTTTTTTCAGCTTGGCACCACTGGGTGATAATTACTGGCACGTAAGTGACTCGGCCGCCATGTTCAACGGTTTGTTTCACGGTTCGGAACCAAAATCGGAATTAATGAGAGTTTCTTTAGGTTACCACCTCTCGGGGCATTACACTAAATCATGCATGTACCATCTCCAGTTTACAACCCCGCGAATCTAACGCATTCCCACAAGGGTCAAAAGTGAACGGACATCCAGTCCAACGGAGCGAAATCGAAGAGCGCTCATCGTTTTCGGAAGCCAATACGGTCGTCCATATGAGATTTTTTTTACCGCAAAAGCCAGCAGTGGACAGGTGTTGGGCGTCAGGGAAATAAAAAAAAAACGAGTGGAGGGAGTGGGCAATTAAAAAGTCGGTGCTTCATATGTGGAGCACGTCTTCACACGCGTGGACGGGACGTTCGACACGACACACTATCGATATGGGGCCGGGCTGAGCAAAAACAGCCACCGGAGCACCGGGGCGAGGGAAAGAAGTGATTGACAAGCTTGTCATGAGCCCCGCTACAAATGGCCCCCGCTTCATTTCCGATGACATCATTTTAACAAACAATCAACCATCAAAAACCATGTTAATTTCAGAAAGGGATTTCAAAAAAAAGACAAAAACAAGTTGGGTTCCACGTTAACCTACAGGGCAGACATCCATGAAAAAAAATGTTCAAAATGAAGTTTACTTGACCGTCTGTAGTTACGTCAAGCTGGAGAGGTCCAAGCCAACAACCCCGGCAACTACTAACCTCACTTTGTTCCTGTTGACATTACTCCTACTTCACGTCCGCGTTTCTCCCTCTTCATGCAGTTCAAAAACGGAAACGACAGGAATGATTCCATCAGTTTTCATTAGATTTCCGGACAACGGAGACAACGATTACACTCGGAAAGACAAAAGATCACCAGCCACACAACTGATGACCATGACGTCACCAAGCGCTACTGCATGCTCGCCGGTTCCGGGCAGCGCTAGCGCCATCTACGGTCGTGCGACAGGCGCTCAGCAGAGCGGCTACTCGGCGCCAATTACAAATCTCCTCCGTGGGAGTCCGTAAATCACATCTACGGTTTAACGCACAGCACGTCAAAGTTTGCAGCGGTTAATTTGCTGCTGAACGGCGAAACAGAGCGACTCACTAAAGTACGTACTTGTCGGGGACCACAGCAAAGGGTTAGATCCAAGGCGTCTGCTGCATTTGTCTTTTGGCCCGGGCAGAGAGGGGGAAGGGGGGAGGGCTCAAATACTAGAACTGGAGAGGGACAACAGCGGCGGTCACGCGACGGCTCGATACCCCGTTCGACAAAGACTGTTTGCGGAGCTCTGGCCGGCCGTCTGCTGAAGCCGAGGCTGAAGCCCAGGTCGCCCCCGGGCATCGGGGAGAGTTTCTCAACCAACAACCTCTGCGGCTCCGACTCGGCGGGACTGTCATACGCCACCACACCACACAGCGGGTAGAGTTTTAGTTTTCGACCAGGATCGCGAAACGCCCCGGAAATTTATTCAACTGGTTGTAAGTTTTACCCAAACTTGAAGATGGGCTGTGGCAGCCAAACTATTCGGATTCAGCTGTGCTCAAGCGGCAAAGTCAAACAGAAACCACCGAAACGTGTGCAAAGGGCGAGCGAGTTGAATGGTCCCAGGAGGAGGTGCGGCGGTGTATTTCCGCTTTTAGAGAAGCTAATATCCTTGTTTCCCCGGGCGTCTTGTGTGCGCGAGTCTATGAGTGCCATGGGTGTACAGTGTGGGCGGAGCTGAGCTGTTCAAACACCGCGGGCTCCTCTTTGTTTCCGGGAAGTGTGTGGGTCCCACGGGCTGGGTCCGGCCGCGGGTCGCGTCCCGGATGGCGCTGTCGGTCGCCTCCCTTATCTATCGGCAGTCCGCTATGACGGCACGGTGACCTCAGTGCGGCAGGTGCGGCGGGGAGGGGCGGCAGGACGACGGCGGCGGCGGCCGCCTGGGCGACGAGCAGGTTCGAGCCGAAGCCAGATTACGTCACTAATCTGGTCTTAAATGTTGTCACATTGGGCTTGAGCAGCGGCGATGAGGTGGGGCGGGGCGGGGCGGGGCGCGGCGGCTCCCACCACCTCCGACCGCGACGCGGGGCTGAACCGCGTCGTGTCGTGGCGCGGCGGGGCGGGACGGGGCGGGGCACGAGCAGCCGGAGGGGGGAGGGTATATTGAAATGGAGGAGGGCATTCAGCCCCGGAGTGCAGCAGCGGGGAGAGGGACAGAGAAAGAGGCGGATTAAATGCGCCGTAATTTGTAGTGGGAGTGAGAGAGGTGCCTAATTAGAAGACCTTGCTCGGCCAAGTCTGCCCCCACCTGGGCGTGCGGGGAGGCGAGTGGGGGAGGAGGGGGGAGCATATCCTGAGTTATGGCTGAGGAAGAACGCGCCGCGAGCGAGCCCGGCCCGATAAATACGAATTAAGACCTCCCATTGCCGGGCCGGACCACCTCGGAGAATATTTATGTTTTCGTCACCTGTAGTAAAGTTGAGATTTCCATGTGATTTGTGTTGCGTGTCTCAAGTAAGACATTCCGAACGCACCATCTACATAAATATGTGCGGAGATGTGTAAATGGGGCGGGAGCGTGAGAAGTAGTGGAGTCTGGGTGTAATTGATTCCGAGTCGATACCATCTCTACGTACCCCCGCCCCGCCCCACCCCGCGGCTCTGCGATGCACAAGCAAGACAGCACTGCTGATCAAAGTTGCAAGCTGGAACTGGCGAGAGTCAGAGGAATGCAAAACTCCAGCGATGTTGTTTCATATTTTAATTTAATTATTAACGACAAAGGTCAGCGCGTTAACACCAGTCCAGCTGGAAAATTTTCAATTTTACAAACAGAATCCTTTGATGAGCTCTCAGTTCAGCGGCACGAGTGCACGGTGCGGCGCTCCTCGCACGAGCTGCACTTGACCTCGCAGCACCACACGAACCTGCAGCCGCAGCTGGTGGCCGTGCGCAGGACGCGCGTGGCGTGGCCGCGGCCGCAGCAGAGCAGCGCGCAGCCCTCGGTGCCGGCCGCGCTCGCGTTGCACAGCCGGCCCTGCGTGCCGAGCGAGCCGACGCGCAGGTCGCGGCGGCAGAAGTCGGGCGACTCCTCGGTGTAGACGAGGTCCTGGCGCCGCGGCGACGACACGGCCGCCGACTCAGGGGCGAAGGAGCGGCCGTCGTTGGTCGGCACGACGCGGACGGCCGCGTCGAAGCGGTCCTTGAGGCGGTCGCCCACCTCGCGGAAGGCGGGCAGCCGCCACCAGCAGGTGCGCAGCGAGCAGGAGCCCGACAGCCCGTGGCACTTGCACGCCCGCCGCATGAGCTGCTTCACGGCCTGCGGGGAGGAGACGGTCACCAAAGGGGTTCTGCTGCAACTTCCGAACTGATCCGGGCGGGTCGTCGACTCACCAGCCTCCCGGCGCCGTGGTTGTGCAGCCTGGCCAGGCCGTGGTGCCCGGAGCGGCGGCGGCGGTCCGGCGCGTCCAGAAAGGCGCGGGATTTGCGCGCCCCGAACTGCACGTTGTCGCCGCAGCCGCCCCACACCCAGTCGCCGTTCAGGGTGTCCGGGGCCGCCGGGCCCGTGCCAAGTTCAGGGCCGGCGTCAACGATGCGGCTCGGTTGAGGTCGCCGTCGTCTGCCCGGGCGGGCTAAGGACCGGCCGTGACCAGCAGCATGGTGGCGGTCGCCTGTGGGGGAACCAAAATGAAGAGTGGGAAACAGAGTTCTGCACGTGAGCGACTTCCAGCTTACCTATCCCGACGTGCCTGTCGCAGCCGCACTGCACCAGCTCGCCGGTGGAGCAGGCCCGGGTCACAGCGTAGGTCACCCCGGCGGCCATCAGGGCGGACACGAACCCCGTCTCCCGGTAGTCTGCCGGCAGAGAGACCGTCGTCAGCCGTCGGTCCAGGTCGCCGCCGAGGTCGGCCCCGGGACCCTCCGGATGGCGGAGGGGGCCGCCGCGGCCGGCCGCTTCCCAGCAGCGCAAGCCGCGTTTCGCCGTCGTTTATCCAGGCCTCCGCTAGTGATGACGGCATGCCATTGCTTTTTCATGGCATATCAGAGGCAGAACTGCCCGTCCCGACCCGATCCGCCGCGGAGCTCTGCTGCGCTCTGCTCTGCGCTCGCCTCCATACTCGCGGGGAGCGACAGGGACTGCTGACCTCTCTCTCTCTCCCTCCCTCCCTCTCTCCCGCCGGGACCCGCTCCCTCTCGCTCTCTCGCTCTCCCGCGGGCCCAGCCCGGTGCGTTAGCGACGCGCCCCGCTCCTGTCTCGCTGGATGACGGCAGTCAGGACTTTTCTGTCCCCCAGCATGATTTAATGCGCTGCACTGAACGAACGGCCGTACAATAAGTCGGAGCTCGGAGGAGGAATAAAAAAAAAAAAACAACGAGAAATGGCAAAGAGTTGAGGAGTCAGATTGAATTGTGTACATAGCTCTACGCTCCGGACCTGGCCGCACTCATTGCTCGCTGCGGCCGGAGGAATCTCAGCAACAGCAGACCTTGAGAGAGACAACACAATAACTGCCGTTTCTACTCTGATCTATCGGTAATCGGGAGCCAGAGAAGTATGTCACCCGTTGCGTGCCCCGGCTCGGCCCCGGCTCACCGCCCCGCCCCACGCCACCCTACCCCGGCCGGCCCCGGCCTCGGACTGACCGTTTGGACCCAAAGAATTATGTCTCATTGAGGCAATATATACAATTTTCTTGTCTTTTTTTTTCGTTTTGGCCGTGAAGCAAAGGGTAGTTGTGTTGGTTGCGATCCTGTGCAGCTGCGGTACAAGAATGGGAAATTTAGAGAAGAACTCAGACCACAATAATTGCTGTAAGAAAATGGAGTACTGTCAAAAAAGGGGGAGTGAAATTGCACAATAGCGAATGAGCACGTGCAATTTTTTTTTTGTGTATAGTTTTAAAGCTCGTACCAGCTCTTACGGACCAAAAGGGTAATTTTGGGATTGGGATTGCAATCTTGTCCTGCATTCAGTAATAGATGGCCTAAAGTTACCATTTTGCAGAGGCGTGCCTGGAAAAGCTGGTAAGCTCTTTTTGCCCTAGAGGGCAAAAGACTATGGTGGTGAACTTGTGAACTAAGCCCACCATGTTGAACACCAGATCTTCAAATATAAAGACCTATTAACCAGCTTAAAAGTATACAAAATGTCCCCAAATTCAACACTCGTGGTAGAGAGGATCCTCGGAGAGTCCCGTCGTTTATTTTCGATGAGAAATGATAGAACTTGTGTTTTCGACGCGCGGCTCCCGGAACATACCGTCCTGCCGTGGAGAGGTTTACCGGTTACACGGAAGGGCACCGGGCTGCAGCCGCGGCGGCGGCAGTGGCACCGCGACACCACCCGGCCCGGGCACCCGCCAGACACACAGTAGATGAACTTTGGTATTTTTATAGCTCGGCATTCCGGTCGGGAATCGGACAACACGAAATTAAGGATGTTTCTCGCGAGAGAGCGACTGCAACGAGAATGGGTTTTTGATGTCCGAGCCGGGCAGCGGACGGTACGAAGCGGAAATTATATGCAGGCGATATCAATGTTTGGAGATAGCGATGCAGGTCCTGCTCCCGGAGGCCTAGGGGTGCCTTATCAACGGGGGCAAAGGCAGCACGGTGGTGATGCTACCTTATTTTCCCACCACAGACTTCTCCTTATTTAAAAAAGGAAAAAAAGTAACAGTTAATTCAATACAAAAGTACAATGGCAGTTATTATTTTAAACAGGCAGGAGATTGCGAGCATTTTAGCGGCATCGTCAATATTGTAAAACAAGGTTGCAAAAAGTCCCCCCATGAATCCCCAACGCAGTGTCCGAGTGACAGGGACGCGGTCAGAGGGGATGGGAGGAGTATTCAATTTTTTTAATTTCTTTTGGTCCACGGCGTGATGACTTTTCCGGGAAGCTGCCGGGGAGTTGACGGAGTCCCTCTCCGAACGGGATGAATCTCCCGCGCGCCTTGTGACGAAACGACTAACAATGAGGCAGCGGCAGGGGCGGTCGCACCAGGCGGTGACAATGGACAAAAGACAGAAGCATCCGTGCCACTTAGAGGTGACACTCTGGCTGCCTTTTCGTCTCAATCAAATGAGAAGAGCCATTGGCGCTACTCGCACACAGTCCGAAAACTGACACTGCAATGCGTTTCTTTGATTTCACGACGCTGCCCCTGTACGGAAATGAGATATGATGTGCAAAGGCACACCAGCCGGGGCAATGTGCTGCTGTGAGCAAACTCTACCCAATACAGTAGCATTCCAGTTGAGCCCCGAAGGCAAGGAGAAAGCATTATCGACTAGGGAAGACCGATTCGCATGATTCACATATTCCTCCCGCTCCCAGCTCGTGGTCCAGGCGACGGGTCCGCCGAGGGTGACGTCCCCCTCCCACCCAGCAGCCCATTATTGTAATTAGCGGTAAGAGCTCGGGCCGGCCCGGCCGCCAGAGCCAAGGCGGAGCTGCGTCCGTCCCAACCTGAATTAGTTCGCGAAACCCATGGCCGGTACGCTGATTCGTTCCACGCGTCCAGTCCCATCCCGTCCAGCAGTCCCGGCCCTCGACCCAATCCCACGGCCGGGGAGGGGCGGGGAGGGGCGGGGAGGGGCGGCGGGCGAGGGCCCTGTCGGGGGCGCGACCAATAACACCCGTGCTGAATATATTATTTCAAAACGGACGGGACTGCCGCCGCCGCGCTGCTGCAAAAACGCCATACGTACCGCCGCCGCCGTGTATGAAATCATTCGCGCTCCTCACACCGGAACCAATGTCGCTCAACGTTATGATGGTCTTTTTGCGCTACGCTTCTTCGCGGAAGGGAGGTCGGGCAGCGGGCGGGCAGCGGGCGGGCACTCCGTGGCGAGTGATTCAGGCGGCCAGGGCGTGGCCGTGTCGTGCGCCTCAGCGCCGGAAGGAGCAGTCGGCACAAGCGCAAAGGCCACAGGCGCCAGGACACACACTAGGTCCTTGAACCTGCCCCCCCCCCCCCCCGCAACCATCCTCCCCACAGAGAATTCCTTGCGGGGATTATTTATCAGCCAAAAGTTTGTGACAGTGTGCCCGGCAGCAGTGCCGTCCTGTAACGAGCCACGGTGGCAGAGGGTGGTGGACCCCCGGCGGACCCCCGGCGGGCAGCACTGCTCTGGCAGCAGGTGACAAAAGACGAGACACAGGTGCGTGTCCCCCACCCCGCTGCTGGGCGCACGCGGCCACTCCGTCATCGATTATCTCGAGCTGTCGAGTCGATTAGTCGATTTGACGTAATTTTGGTAGACGGTGTCGTCGCCGGTAACGGGGGCCGCCCCCGGGCCAGGAGCACGACTGGACCGAGACGTGTCGTCGGGAGCGTGTCAAGGGGCGGAGGCGGGGGAGACCGGCTCATTGTGTGGAGCTGTCCGTGCCCCCGCGGACGGGTGTCCCAGCGGCTGTTCCGAAGGGTGTCCCGAAGGATGTCCC